CTAATCACCAATCAGCGTGTGCTGAGTGCCCTAAGCCTCGTCCCCTATCCTTAAAGGTGCCTGTACCCGGGCCCTTGCTCTCTTCCGCGCCCCCGCCTCCCCTCTGGAAGCAGCCAGCAGGGGTACTCTTCCTTCCAATACAGCCTGTGTGTGTCCGGCTACCTTCTCTATTTAATCTATCAGAAATAGTACCCCACGTACTTGCTCTTCCTCTCTGGGTGTAAAATGCATCGCTGCCTTTCCCCTTTCCCCCAGCACTGAAAACCCCAGTTAATTAACTTTCACAAATAAGGCCTGAGAAAACTCAGAGCAAATGTCCTTCGTTTGACATTGGGTACAAAAATCCTCCTTCAGCTGGGTTTCATTCGCATGGCCGTGTTCCTGGAAACAAGTGGAAGGGCAAAGCTGTCCACTAAATTTTGGGAGCAGACGCCGGAGAAAAGGTCACGTGATTTTCCGGGGCAGGTTCCGCCTTTGGACGCCAGGATTTAGAGAGATGGCCATTACCAACCATGGGAGTGTGGCTGATCCAATTAAGGAAGTGTTTTTAAATTCAATTACACCCTCAGTGGAAATGGTCTCACTAATGCTTGTGGAAAGAATTATATGCAGTCCATAAAGCCTAACATTTTTAAACCCAATTTTGCACAATGCTCTAAAGGTTAATTCAAGATCTTTCTTCCAAATGGGAGGGAAGGCGTCGGTGGACTGACTGGGGTTTATCAGCCTGTAAGAGTTCATTAGTTTTAATTAGCGTAATCACTAATGTTGCACTAACAGTTTAGTGAAGGAAAGTAATTACTCACACATCCACTGTATTAGATGGAAAGATTAGAATTCACTTTCCAAAGCGATTAGCATTTTGCCAATTAAAAGAATTCCTTCTTCCTACCAGCAGCCCTGTGACCTCCACTCACACAAAGATCATTTAAATGAAACGTATTTAGCATTAGAAAATGGAGCGGGAAGAAATGAAGAATAAGCCTGTTTTTATTCTTAGCATCTTCCTGGGGCACAGCAAGCACCCGGTTCTCCTGGAGTTTATAATGTCTCGCTCTATTTGCACAGTCATTGACTTCTGTCACTTTAGATTACACCCCCGGTGCTCTGTTACCCGGCAGCAATTAAAAAATGAAACGGCTAGTGGAAGTTGAGGCCTAACAGAAGCCATGGGACAGCCTAGGTGCAATGCCCTTTGCCAGAGTCCAATGATTGAACCAGTGTGGGGGATTGGTGGCTGGCCCCATCCTGAGCACCAGCTTGGAGCTGGCCCTGCTGGGGCTGCCTGCAGGAGCCCCCTAACACATGAAGTTGTATCTCTTGGGCCCTCCTACTGACTTCTATCAGGACCAGGCCTGGTGCCACCTTGGCGCCTCAGCTCAGGTTACAATTTTGGGCAAAATGATCCGACTGCTCTCCAGCACCATGGCCCAACTCCTCTCCATCCCTCCCAGGTCCTCCATCTACTTAATTACATGGGACTTGTCTTTTCTTCACTATCCCATGTTCTTTTAAACCCGGCTTCTTCTAACTTGCTATTCATCTTGTCAGCAAACCCTTTTGCCTGTTCTGTGAGAGCATTCATCACTCATGCTTTGCACTGACTAGAATAGCCATCTCCCCCATTTGCAGTCAGAGCCCCCACTGCATCCTGAATTTTTGTATTCTATCCTCTGATATACCCGTTTCTGCGAAAATAAGACAGTGTCTTATATTAATTTTTTCTCCCGAAGTTGCACTAGGTCTTATTTTCAGGGGATCTCTTATCTTTCCATGTGCTAGGTCTTATTTTCGGGGAAACACAGTATAACTACATTGAGTTACTGGGGCCGGAACAAGGATCTTATTCTGCTTAGCGTTCTCAGCCTGTTGCAAATAGTAGGTGGTGTATACACATTTGTTAAGTGGCCAAGTGAATTGTAGGTAGGAATTCTACCCTTCCCACCTCCTCCCTCAACCTCATCAAATCTCAGCCTAGGAGGGCCAGCTTGGTCAGATCAGCAAACATCACAGAGGAAGGAATGGCGACATTTGCATAGCAGGTGGGGATTCCCTCTTCACCTGAGCACCTCACCCAGACCACTTCCAAAGGGAGCCGACCCTCGCTGAGGGCATATCTCTGGGCTCTGCTTGGGTTCGGCCAATGGGAGACCCTGGCGAGAATTTGGAGGCTGGGAAGAAAGGGAGATCTAGGTATCTCTTTCCCACTCCTCCTTGCTTTGATTTCACATCTCAAAAGTTAGCCACACAGAACAGGATGGAGAAGATGGAAAAGGGATCTGGAAAATAGTTCACCCAGAGATTGTTTCTGAGATGGGAATTTCAGAAGGTTTGTCATCATGGCTCAGCTTTGGGAGAAGAGGCCCCGGCCCAGTGCACTGTTGGGGTCTCCAGACTCCCATGTTGGCCTGTTCTCAGCCCGGAATACTGCCCAGGGGCAAAGATCAGCTCACCAGGATAGGCACAAGTAGGCATGGACTGAGGCAGAAGGCCGCGGAGTCTTTATCCCAAAGCCCCTCTCTATGGAAATGCTCTCTTGATATAATACTTGATGTGGTTTTAAAGCTGTTTGATAAATACTTGATGTTGTTTTAAAGGCATTATTTCATTTGATTCCCTAATAACCCTTTGAGATAAATATTTTGCTGATGGGGAAACTGACTTACTCAACACTGCTGGACAAGTAAACTGAAGAAAACATACAAAACAACCAGAGTCTACTTTCAGGCTGTGATCTTCCTGGTCTATGACCTATATCACCTTTAACTGATCTGGCTCCATTCCCAGCTGCACCCCTTATAAGCTGTGTGACCTTGGTCATGTGACTCAACCTCTCTGTATATCAGTTTCTTCATCAATAAGACAAACACAATATGTTTCTTTCCTGGTTGTTGTAAAGACTAAGTGTGAGCCCTAGCCAGTTTGGCTCAGTGGATAGAGCATTAGTCTGCAGACTGAAGGGTCCCAGGTTCAATTCCGATCAAAAGGGCATGTACCTTGGTTGCAGGCACATCCCCAGTGGTTGAATGTTAGGAGGATTCTTGGACAGCCTGCTCCTTCCTGGGCCTGGTGGCTGTGCAGGTTGGTGCCAGCAGACTGCCCAGTAGCCGCCATCCAGGGACAGGGCAGGAGCACCGTAGCTCGCTCTCTGGGTTGGCAGCATTCCCAGGAGAGGTGCAGAAACTGGCAGCTGGGCGAACAACTGGAGGCAGTGCTGGCAGGTCCCTACTTGCCTATAGGTCACCTCCACTGCCAGGGTGGTCATCCCAGCACACCGTGTGTGTGTGTGTGTGTGTGTGTGTGTGTGTGTGTGTGTGTGTCTGTGTGTGTGTGTGTGTGTGTGTCCACTGCATGCCCTGATGAAAGGGAAGCTAGCTAGACACCTCAGCTATTAGCCACTCTCTGGGTCTGGTCCAGGGAGACAAACATGGGCAGTGCTTGTCCTCTATACACCGAAGCCAGGGGAGGGTTAAGTGCCCAGAGGCTCTGAAGTCCAGGAGGAGCTTGGAGAGCTAGGGCAGAAGGACACCCTCTCCCTCAGGGCACCCAGGGTAGGGCAGCCCTGTGACGGCCTCCTGCTTGGAGCGCCCCCCGCATAGCTGCCACCTCCATTCAGCAGCCCAGGTCCTGCAGGCTAATTAAGTTAATAAGAAAACTAAAGGGATGGAGGAGGGGCAGGGATGCGGCTGTGCTGAGTTAGGAGGTGTAACAAATGAATCTGTCTTTCAATTACCAGCTTTGTAACCCCAGGCACATTCCTACAGGAAGCCTGTTTCTTCACCTGAACAAAATGAATTACAGTCCTCATGTTACAGGGAGGACCCTTGTGAAAACAGCAGTTATCACATGCACACTAATGTCTGCTCTCCCCACACCAAGAAACATGCTATGTATTTTGCTCGTGGCTGTGCTCCCGGCCCCCCCGGGTCTGGCTATTGCAGGTGCTCAGTAAACGTTTACTCAGACCTGAGCAGAAGGTACCGTCATGGCTCTGAGGTTTTAAGGGCATTTGGGGGACACTACTGTGAGGAACAAAAGGTTAGGAGAGCCTGAGGGAGGAGGCTGCCTGGGACAGAGCAGAAGTGTGCCTGGGGGCAGAGTCCCAGGGGTCCCCGCAGTCCGGGCCAGGCTTCCTCTCTGGGGACGTTGTCTGGTTGCATAAGACCAGCTCTGCGTCCCACCAGTTACCTTGGAAACCATGAGGAGGGCACCCAAAACAGCACCAGCCCGGACGCCACTGGAAGGACAAGGGGGAACTTGCCAACATTTTTTTTTTAAATACTAGCAATAATACAATAAAATAGGAGCAATAATCCATTGACCTCCAGTGCCTGCACATAAGTATCGACAGTATCAAAAAAGCAAAAGAAAGGTTTTTTGTTGTTGTTGTTTTTGTTTTCTACAACTAAAGACCATCACACTGCATGTTCGGGGGAAAATTTCCTATCTGTTTGAGTATCTTATTAAAGAATCCGAAAGGCATAACTAGTGCATTTTCTGGACTGCGTTTGTAGAATATCAATCATGCAAAGCATTCACCGTGTCCTCATTTATCTTTCTAGACTTTTAAAAATGTTCCATTATATTTGGAAATTGTCTTCTTGTAGGAGGAATCTTTTGAAGGACCTTCTATTTTTTAATTGAGTAAATTTAGGTTTTGTACCGAAATGAAATGACAGAAAGGACTTAACAATATTTCAGCATCTAAATTTGGCAAAACATTCAAAAACAATTTTGTCCCCAAGTATTTGTCAAAACAGATAACAAGTGTTGGCAAGGATGCAGAGAACCTGGAATTCTCTTACGTGCTGATGGGGGTGTAAAATGGAGCTGCCCCTTTGGGTAACAGTCCCGCAGCTCTCATTCTGTAAGAAACAGTTTCCTCTCCCTGCACCGGAAAGCCTGCTTGTACCACGCTGGACACCAGGGAGTCTCGGCCAGGCTGGGAGACTGACCTCACACTAACTGACCCAACTAACAGCCTTCTCTTCGTCCCACAGTATGTGTCCAACTGCCGCGCCGTCACTCAGAGCGCTCCGGAGCCAGGTGGCTGCCCCCACCGCCCCCTGGCCCACCGCCACCGCCACCACCACGGGCACCGCCACCTGCGCCACCACGCCCACCCGCACCACCTCCACCACCAGCAGGCCGAGCTGCGTGCCAGCCGGGTGATGCCCTGCACCTGCCCCCTGTCCTCCTGCCCCTGGGAGGGCCGCCTGGAGGTGGTGGTGCCTCACCTGCGGCAGACGCACAGGGTGGATATCCTGCAGGGAGCCGAGATCGTCTTCCTGGCCACGGACATGCACCTCCCCGCCCCCGCGGACTGGATCATCGTGCACGCTTGCCTGGGCCACCACTTCCTGCTGGTGCTCAGGAAGCAGGAGAGGCACGAAGGGCACCCCCAGTTCTTTGCCACCATGATGCTGATCGGGACCCCCACCCAGGCCGACTGCTTCACCTACCGCCTGGAGCTCAACAGGAACCACCGGCGCCTCAAGTGGGAGGCCACCCCCAGGTCCGTGCTCGAGTGTGTGGACTCGGTGATCACCGACGGGGACTGCCTCGTCCTCAACACCTCGCTGGCGCAGCTCTTCTCCGACAACGGCAGCCTTGCCATCGGCATCGCCATCACTGCCACAGAGGGCTGCTCCTCAGATGCTGAGATGTGAAGTGAGAGGCCACCGGAGGCTCACACTCAGCCACCCCTCCTCCAAGGAACTCTGCTTGTGCCCTCCGGATCTCCAAATTCCTATTTATTCTTCTTCTCTCCCTGCCTCCCTTCCTTCTTTCTTTGTTTGTTTTTTTGTTTGTTTGTTTGTTTGTTTGTTTGTTTTTTGTCTCAGGTACTTAGTGGTGTCTAATAGTTGTCTGCCTTGGGCATTATATTATGTAAACATCCTGTGATTCAAGATCTTGGTGTAATGTTTGTCCTGATTAGTTGGAATAGTTTTACAGATCATTTTTATTAAATCGGAATGATTATTATTACCCCCCACCCCAATTCCCTTCTCCATGGCTTCCAAAATGAGCAAAATTCACCCAGACCACAAAGCAGACTGTTGGGGTTGAAAAGAGAGTTGGTATCCAAACCATTTCTCCCTTCTCTTTTCAGTCCATTTCAGGGAGAGCTAACTCTGAAGTGTGTGAGAACAGCTGGTTGGGAAGGGACCGGGCCCGTTCAGAGACACAGTTCAGACCAAGCAGACACAGGGGGCAGAGCTGTGCTGCTGGAGGTGAGGGACTGTGTCTCCTCAGAAGGCCAGAGGGCCCCGGGCTGGAGGCTCCATCACACGATGAGTCTTCTGGTTGGTCCCAGGGCTCAGGGCAGGGGCAGACAGGGAGCCCTCGTTGGCAGGCTGCTGCGGGCTTGCTCTCGGCCTGTGCCATCCTTTCCTGCTCTGGAATCAATGTCCTCACGTTCCTGGTGCTTTCTTGAAAACCTCTTCGCCCTCTTCTGAGCAGTAAAAAAAAGATGGGCAAGATGTGGGGAAAGAGAAGCAGCTGAAAAAAACACGGATAAAATTAATCTCCCACCTCTGGGAGGGTGTTCTCTCCTCAGAGAGTTTTAGCATCAAATTAAAAATCCATCAGTCCTTTCACTAGCAACGAGCACCTTGGTATCACGCAAAGAACCCACTGTGCTCGTGGAACCTTATAAACCAGAACAGAACCTCAGCTCACCATCAGATACGAGGAGCATGGAGTCTGTGCCCCGATCCTGGGCCTGGAGGGCTGGCCCAGGTCCTCATGTGCCAGGGAGGGTCCGCTTTCCTTCCCTCACTTTGCCAGTTGCTCTGAGAACCCCATTCGGCACACAGGTGTTATCACTGAGCAAGTGTGCACTTGGCACCGTGCTGCAGCCTGAATGAACGTCCACATTGCCCCTGTCTGGATGGCTTTCTCTTATTGGCTGTTAGAACAATTTGTCAACATCTTATTGAAATCTGTCACATATTTGAAGAGAATAGCATGTTTAGTCAACTTGGTCTCTTCTGTTCAAGGTGGACTATCTGTAATCTTTCCCCGTAGGCCCTCTTCGTCCTCCTTTTTGTCAGTTTTGCTCTCCCCTTGGCCACTCTCCAGTCGCCGAAGAAGCATGGCGCCAACCCCCACACCACGCTCATCAGAACCGAGTGGGCCTTTCGCCAACCGATGCTGCTCTCTGCCTCACTCCCTCAACCCAGCCCCTTGGCTGGATCCTGGCGGGCCTCCAAGTGAGCACTTAGTTTCAGGCAGCTTGCCCTGGCTGGCCACCAGCAAGCTTTTCCCCGCCAAAAATAATCAACCCTGAAACACAAAAATGCCCTTCCCTTAATGACCAGGCAATCCTCTAGCCCAGTGGTCAGCAAACTCATTAGTCGAAAGAGCCAAATATCAACACTACAATGATTGAAGTTTCTTTTGAGAGCCAAATTTTTTTCAACTTATACTTCTTCCAACGCCACTTCTTCAAAATAGACTCGCCCAGGCCGTGGTATTTTGTGGAAGAGCTACAGTCAAGGGGCCAAAAAGCTGCATGTGGCTTGCGAGCTGCAGTTTGCTGACCATGGGTCTAGCCACCTGTATCACCAACCCACACCGCAAGCACCTGAAGGGTGGTGCCAGTCAATAGAAGATTTAATAATGAAATCCCCTTTAGTCACACAGTGATTGCTAGGACCCTGGGGCTGAGGTTCCTTCTTTTAGAGCTGTAAGGGACCAATAAATATTGTATCACTGATGAAGGTAAGCATCAGATTACAACCTCCTTTCTCTTAGCTGAGTCAGAACATCCTACCAGGCACCAGCTGCCCCCCTCAGACCATACAGAGGGTCAAGAATAGGAGCAAACTGGGCCAGTTGATCAGCACGGAGGGACTGGCTCACCTGGCTCCTTGCTTTCTCCCAGGCCCTCACCTGGAACCTAAGACCCCCTTGGCTGCAAGTTGCTTCCCCGGAATCCACAGGTCCTCCCCGGTTTCTGCTACTCAACCACTTTTGTAGGATTTGTGCAGCATCACAGGTGCCCAGATAAATAGACAAACAAAACCTCAGTTAGAGCCTAGTGTTCCTGGAGCCTCAGGACTCCTGCAAACATTACCTCTGCCTTCCTGTGGTGCCAAGTTCCCTGAGCCAGACTGGGAATAACTTCACATTATTGCTATTGCTCCCACGTCTGTCTTAGGAATAAGTGATCCTAGCTAGGAACCCATAGTTTTGATTACTAGAAACTTTTCGCATGAAGGGTAGGAGTGCGTTATTTTTGTCCATCTATGGTCTTGTCAAGAAAGCCTCTTTCTATATCCACGTGTGAAGGATGGAAGCAAAAGGGGCCAATGAAAACAATGAGCAGAGACAGAGAGACTGGTTTCAAGAACAGGGGCAGAGATTGGTACCAACTAAGCACATTGTGTTGAGCTTTACAGTCATAAAGGGCTCCCTCGTTTGAGTCTCAGGTTAATCTCATTAGTATCCTCAGGATACTAAAAAAATAAATAAATAAATGAAGTTTCAGAGACATTAAATGACCTTTCCAAAGTCGCATATCAAGTGGTTGGGACCACTACTAGAACCCGGTAAATCAACCACAAACTTGGTGTTCCTTCAATAAGAAGTCTGACCCAAAACATTCAGCAATGTTCCCACCTCAATAGTGGACTGTGGGCCTGAGGGTCAGCTGGGTCTTGATCCTGGGGTACTTGGGGAAGCAGACAGACAGATTTGCTTTTAGAGGCATCACAGCTTGAAGAACTAGTCTACTTGGAAGCAGGGAGTGGGGAGGGGGGAATAGAAAGGTGTTTGAGGAGTGTGGGAATCCTCATGTATCTGATCACCCACTCCAGGCTCCTCATTCTAGACTCTCAGAGCCCTGGGAACTGGCTGCCTCATTCCATCCCATTCAGGTGCTGCCTTAATGGTGCACCAAGGAGTTTACTTAACAGCAAGAAGTGAGTGACCAGTATTAGAGCATTAGGCACCTGAGCTTGAGGGCAATTTTTTCAGGAGGTGTGGAGAGAAGGACATTTCTGCCCCTGCACCTGACCCCACACAAATGGTTGTTGCAGAAATGAAGGTCAGGCTATACAAAGAAGATTGTCTCTAACAATCAATCTCTGTGATCTTGCACCTGAGATAGATCCTATCATTGCAATTACTGTGGACAGTTTAGAAATAGATCAGGCGAATAATAATAGCAATACTCGTGGATACCACTTACTGAGGGTTTACTATGTGACCCAGTGGGCTAACTACTTGGAATATATTATTATCTCATTTAATTCCCATAACAACCTTATGAAGCAAGTACGTTATTGTATCCACAAGAAACTTAAGCTAAGAGAGCTTAGACACTTATTTAAGCTTGCACAGCTAACAAATGGTAGAGCCAAGCCTGAAACCCAGTATATCTAGCTCCGATTCCAGGCTTCTGGACAATACCAACTATGTCATTTCAATGAATTCATGGAACCAAGGCCAAGAAGGATCATCTTACAGTCTGAATGGCATAGAGGCCTTTTAGTACTTTAATATTAAATGTGCTCTTTTATTTCTCCTTTTTCCCCCTCTTTTCCCAGCCCAAGACAGAGTGGTGTGCTAACGGTGGCTTGTATACCAGTTGTTAAATTTTTAAAAGATGTGTATGAGACAAATGTTAAACACAGCCATTACTAAAAATTAAATTGTATACATTTGCAATTAAATAAGTTATAAAACAAAGATAATACTCAAAACTCATCACTTCCTAATTATTTCACTACTTATTTGTTTTCTGTGCTCTAGAGGTTATTACCATCTGTCATATTTATATGGTGAGCACACTATATAATGGTGTCCTACAGCACATCTACCAACTCCACATTTAGCGACATGGCTTGAAATTGACACTGAGGGTAGCATTTATACCACAGAAATTGACAAGTGTTATTAACTAGGCTTTTACCTCTCAGAGATCTAGTCTTTAAACAGTAACCGGCACACCATTACTTAGACAACTCTAGTATACACAGGACTTTAAATGATGAAGCAAGATCCCGGTGGCCTCACTACAGGAGCACAGTTGACAGGCAAGCCAGTGAAACAGCAAATTATTGGGAAAATACAAACTGTCCTCCAGAAGAGACTGAGGCCTCTAAGCTGCTTCAACAACATTCCCTGCGCTACTCCAGTGTGGGAAGTTTTATTCAATTACTTTCACCAGCCTTTTGGTCATCCCAGTCCAAAAAGTAAAACCAAGCTCTACAATACCGGTATCTCCTGTTACTTGTTCTTATAGGTCATCTTTCTTATTTCTACATGTAGACCAAAATCCAATCTAAAGAAATATTTTATTTTTAAATTAGAGATTGGAAATATCCAATACCTGAGAAGGGCAAAGTGAGCAGTGGTTTCAAACACCAAGAGAGGAGCTGAGAGACAGGAAAGGGGATGAGTCAAGAAATGAGTCCCATGGAGAACAGAGCCCAGCTTCTTACCTTTCTACCCTGGCTCCTTCACTTCATTGCAACCTGAAAAGGACCCCATTCATAGTCCATAGCCCAGAGCAACACACTTTCTAAATTAAGGGCATGGTTCCCACTAGGATCGAAGTCACAAGAAACTGCAGACTAAGTGCCTTGAAACAGGCAGAGTCTCCAAGCTCAAGAGTGAATCAGTTACTCTGATCCCAGTGGTTTCCATGTAAGGGAGGGAAGAGGTGAGGCTTGTTGAAGCTTCCACTGGGATCCAGTTTCTGGGGGAAGGGGAAGGGCTGTGGGCTGGAAGTCAAAGAATTATGCTCTGATTGAAGTTCAGCTATACATAGCGTAAGGAGTAAGAGCAGAGTCACCTAGTAGATTGTTAAACTTCAGATAATTTGTTCAAGAAACTTTCTTCAAGAATTGGTGAGTTTTCCTTTGTGTTAAATTGGAGAATGGCCAGTCAAGACAAACAATGGCAAGAGGTCCAGGAGACCTGTTGCAGATAAGCATTTATTTTTTACCCCTAAGAGCAGGTTATCACATGGGTTGTCTACTAGGGTTAGAGTTTGTCTTTTCCAATATTGTGTGGAAATATTTTGCCTTGTGTGTTAGTCTATAAATACTCCTTTCCCTTTTTTAACTTTTTTTTGTTTAAGTTATTGAGATAAGGAAGAGAAAGGTAATCAAAAATCATTTTACTTCAATTGATGTATATTAATTTAATGTTAAAGTCAAGAAGAAGCAAACTGAGAATACTGCTTTATCTCCACCCTGTCTCCCATGGAAAATGTCATTAAATTGCATTTGATATTGTTTCCTCGAACCCTTCAGAGTTGTTCTGTGTTATTGTTGGGTTTGTTTCCTCCCCATAGGCTACTGTGCAATGTGAGAAGATAGAAATGAAATGCTACAAGGGAAAGTGCAATAATCAGAAATTTGCCAGCTGCCACATTTGACTTATGTTTCATTATCTTCCTCCCCTTTTCACTTTGCCTCCATCTTAAAGTTATAATTGGATGTAGGGAA